TCCCGGAACCAGGCCACATTAATTACTTCAGGCTGAAACCACAAACTTGCAAGGTTCCCTCCCGAAACTTTTTGTATTCCAACCACCTTTACCCAGGACCCCACTTAAGTCCCTTCCACCCCTGCGCCCGCCTTATGTCTCTTGACTCTCCTCAGGTCACCATGGTGTTTCTATTCAACTCTTCATAAAGTTGATCTAGTCTGTTGAAGCATTTTCTGCGCTTTCTTTGTTCTAATACCTTCATGACTCAGTTTCCTAACAGGGGACAGGGTACCAGCAGGAACAGAGAGAAGTAAATGGCTTTCAGGATGCTATGTGAAGTAGGAGTTGGTGATTAATTAGAAACTCCTGCTGGGCGCTGGTGGCTCATGCCTATAATCCTAGATACTCAGGAAGCTGAGATCTGAGAATCAAAGTTCAAAGCCAGCCTGGGCAGGAAAGTCTGTGAGACTCCTATCTCCAATAAACCACTCAGAAAAATCTGGAAGTGGTATTGTGGCTCAAGTGGTAGAGTGCTAGCCTTGAGCAAAAGAAGCTCAGGGACAGCACCCAGGCCCAGAGTTCAGGCCTTGAGTTCAAGCCTCAAGATGGGCAAAAAAAAAAAAGAAAAGAAAGAAAAAAAGAAAAAAAAAAGAAACTCCTTTATTTCTGGTTAGGACACTGAATTGATAAAGCAACAGGAATGAACTCATGGGAGACCATGGGAGATGCACTGTGGACATGTGGGGGAGAGGACACTAGGGAAGAACAGACGTAGGTGGGGAGTGCCGGTGTGGAGACATCAAATGAAGGTGGTGACTAAAGTATGGGGGCAGCGGAGGCTGTCCAGTGAGCTTCGTCACCGGGGACCTTGGCCAGGGAAGCCTTAGAGGGATTAGGGACCAGAATAGGCCCAAATGAAGCGAGAAACTACAAAGGACAGAGGCAGGTGAGTTGGAAAGGAGTATTCTTTTTCAGATGAGTCATAAGTCAGATATGGCAGCTCATGCCTATAATCCCAGCCACTCAGCAGGCAGAAATTGGAAAAGTTGTGGTTCAAGGCCAGCCTGGGGAAAAAGTGAGTGAGACCCCCATCTCAATCAATAAAAGATGACACCCATCTTCCTATTTACACAGGAAGTATAAAATAGGAGGATCACAGTCCAGGCTGGTCCAGGCAGAGGCATAAGACCTTATCCCCAAAATAACTAAAGCAAAAAAGGTGGAGGGAGTGCTTCAAGTGGTAGAATGGTGCCTGCCTGGCAAGTGTGAGGCCCTGAGTTCAAGCTCCAATATAAAAAAAAATACACACAAGATGAAAGCATGAGTGTATAGAGCTGGAAAGCTGAGGATGGAGGGAAAGGAGTGAGCAATGGTATGAAGTCCCCAGGGAAACTGGGAGGCTGGGATCCAGGGCAGCCAGGGCTAATGCTGAACAGGAAGTCCCACCCACTGCCATCAACCAGGTAGGTGAGATGGAGGAGAGAGGTAGGTAGGAGACTGGGCTGGGGCTGGAGGATAAGCTCTTGCATGGGGTGAGTGGGGCAGAGGGTTCTGTGAGGAGGCAAAGCTGTCTCAGGTAGAGCAAGGCAGGGTGCCAGATCTGAGGCAGCCCTGGAGAGGGCCCCCATGGGAACCCAGGGCCATTATCCCTACCAGCAAGAATGGGGGTTAAGCCCTAGAACATTCCACGAACTCAATGCAAGCCTTTGGGGATTTTTTTTTTTTAGTTCTTATGGTTTTAAGGCATGATTCTCTAATGAGAAAGCGGATATATGGGGAAGGGGATACAAGCCCCCATCTCAAGGTCAGATTATAGGTACACTAAAGCTCTGTCCCTTCCTTCCGTTAGGACCTTCTTGCCTCCCACTCACCAGGGCCCCTCCCCCAAGACTGAGCCTTGCCAGTGTCTGCAGCCTACCCTGGCTCCAGCTGGCCTGATTTCTGTCACTGGACTGGAGAGAGTCTGATTCCTTCCTCGCTCTCCAGACCAGGGCCCCAGAGGCAGGGCCTTATCTTCCCTCAGCTTTCAGGGACCTTAGGGCCAGTCTGTCCTACTCAGCCACGGGTCCTATAGGACTGAGGTCATAACCCCGCCCCCACCTGCAGGCAAGAAAGCACTTTGGGGGGGCTATTTGTTTAGGGTGAGAGATTATGTATTTCTAAACCGGGCTCAAACTCAAGATCAGCCTGCCTCAGCCTTCTGAGTGCTGAGACTACAGGTGTGTGCCACCACATCTGGCTTGTTGAAAAGGGGCTTCTTTTTTTTTTTTTTTCTTTTTTTGGTCATGGGGCTTGAACTCTGAGCCTGGGCGCTGTCCCTCAGCAATTCAGCTCAAAGCTAGCGCTCTACCACTTGAGCCACTGCACCACTTCCCGTTTTCTGGTGGTTTACTGGAGATAAGAGTCTCAAGGACTTTCCTGCCTAGGCTGGCTTTGAACCGTGACCTTCAGATCTCAGCCTCCTGAGTAGCTAGGATTACAGGCATGAGCCATCAGTGCCTGGCTAAAAAGGGACTTCTTAAACCACAAACCAGAGCTGATATTGAAAAAGGAACTTCAGCTAGACTTGACAGGAACTTCCTGACAAAAGGGTACACACAGCCTGGTCTAGAGGATCCCATGGTTCTCTAGGGGGAATGGCACTTACTCTTGCAGGGGGGATGAGGGGAGGGGCAGTAAGCAGGCTTCAGAGCGAGGCTCTTTCCAAGAATCCTCAGGGGCTGGGAGGAGAAATTTCCCCTGATCCAGCGATTCTAAATATGGCAAAGGCAGCAGGAGCACGTGATCCAGGGCCCCACACCAGGGCCGCTGCTGTGTGGCCGCCTCTCTGGGCAGAGGCCTGTGTTGGGGCTCAGGGCTGGGATGAGATCTAGATGGAACTTCAGTTTCTCTGCCCTCAACATGAAGGTAGGGGACACCTCACGACAGCTAAGGTCCTTTCAGCCTTAACTCCAGCTGCAGGGCTGGGAGGCAGAGTTGGCCCTCAATTCAGTTCTATGTTCTCTGAGGATGTCCCTAGAGGAACAACAGCAGCCAGCACATAGTGCGAATGATGAGAAAAACATCCCTTCTTGGAGGAACAATTAGAGAACACATTTCTTTAGCTGGACAAGTTGCAAAAGCTTGACCCCTCTAGCTGGCCCTACTAGAAACGGCATCCCTTAACCCTGGGCCAATGGTTGAGTGCCTGTAATCATAACTACTCAGGAGATTCAGATTTGAGGATTGCAGATTGAAGCCAGCTCAGGCAGTTAAGTCTATGAGACTCTTAACTCCAATTAACCACCAAAAAATATGGAAGTGGAGCTGTGGGTCAAGTGGCAGAGCACTGGCCTTGAGAGAACAAGCTAAGAGTTAGCACTTAGGCCCTGAGGTCAAGCCCCAGTACTGGCTCAAAAATAAAACAACAAAAAAAGAAACAGCATTCCTTGCTGTGGACTGTCCCACCTCTGAGCAAAGGCTAGATTTTAGTGCCACTGGAGCTCCTTTGTGGTATACAAGCTGTACAGCCCAGAGTAGTAGCCTGTGAATGGCTCCATACCCCTCTTCTATCTGCTACTGGTCAATCCAGGGTGGGAGTTTGAGGCAAGAAGGATCCGCCTTCAGGTTCTGCTGAGCCAATCAGATTCTTTCTTGGGATGGAACTAGGAGCCATACAAAATAAGTTGGCAGGAGATCATCTCCTGGTCTCTATTCTGTGAACCCCAAATGTGCTTATCTCTTGATACAAAACCTCTGTGACATTCTACTTTCCTCTACACCTCCACATGCCAGTCTTTCTAGAGTTAGTTCAAATGGCCTGATACCCACAGGACATGAGAGGCAGAGTTTTCTAGACATGACATTTGATGAGTACTATGGTTTGAATGTGATTTATCCTCCAAGATTCTGTGGGTTGGGAGCTTGGTCCTTAGTGAAGGGCCATTAGGAAGTGACAGGATCTTTAAGAGGTACAGCCTGGGGGAGTAGGGGGTCATTTCAGGTGTGATCTCAGAAGGCTTTAGCTCCAGTCTTTGGCTTCAGGTCTCACCAAGTAATCCTCACCCTCACAGGCTGCCAGGATTGAGGCCTTCACCAAAGCTGAGTCAATGCTGGTAACAGGCCTATGAGCCTCTAGAACTATGAACTTAAAACACACACACACACACACACACACACACACACACACACACACACACACACGAGGGGGGATGAGGATTTAGCTAAGTGGAAGAGCACTTGCATAGCAAGTGCAAGGCCCTGAGTTTGTTCCTCTCCTCTGCCACAAAAAAAAAAAGAAAGAACTCCACTTTATAAAATACTTGATCTCAGGTAACAGAAAACAGACTAATATGGTAAGTAGCCTTATCCTCTCCCACCTGAATCATCCCCAAACCCTCTGAATTGTCCTCTCTGCTTCCTTCTGCCAGGCCAGCCACATTACCTACCGCGCCAGCTAAGTGAGCTGAGGGAAATGTCTACACAAGCTAGGGACAGAAGAAGGAAGAAGCACAGATGTCCATTCCTTGGGGGCTGGCCAGGCAGCACTGACTTCTCTAGTGGGGAGCTGTGATCCTCCTAAGACAAAGATGATCAAAATGAAGGGGAACTAAGGACTAGAATATAGGCAGCCGTGATTTATGAAACTGAAAGACGATGGTCAGCGGAAACCTTCTACTGGTTCCGTAAAGCAACTCCACCTACAGTCAGGTGGCCTAATTCTATATGCTGGGTTTGGCCTAAGATTTTGTTTGAATGAAGAGCTTTGTTTTTTTCATAAAGCATGAAATCATCAACTTGCAAACTCAGATCCAAGCTCCTTAGCATGGTTACAAGGAAGACCCTACCCACCAGGCCACTTTATTCTCTGCTCCCAAGTGACTAGCTGGCACTGGATACTCCATTAGCATAATTCTGCCCCCACCACAACCGACAGAGCTTTTATTTTCCTTCCTTACCTTTTGTTCCTGGCCCTATCTTTGCCTTCTCTGTTAGGCTTCACCTTCTGCTGTTAGTTTCCCAAAACTCCACTTACTCACCTCCAGATGGAGTAATTTCGGTTACTGTCTTCCAAAGACCCAGAGGTCATGTCCCTTCACGTTGCACACCCTGTGTCTGGCACACATGGATGCTGGGTGTTTATTGAGAGAGAACATACCCCACACTTGGTATCACCCCTTCTTCAGAATGCCGTACTGCCCCCCTCTTGCTTCCATACCTCAAACTTTCCTGATATAGGAAAGATTCTGAAGACTCCACACAGCCCATGGCCCTGGCGTGCTCATTCATTCATTTATTCAATCATCATTACCCATTTACTGAGCACTCACTGTGGGCCAGGAATAAAGATACAGGAGACCCTGCCTTCAGGAAGCTTGCTTACATTCTTAGGGGGTGGTATCAATAATAAAGGAGTAAAGGTTCAAGTTGTCAGATGCTGATAGGAAAAAAAAGTAACTGGGAAAGGGAGACATGGAATACTGGTGCAGGAACAAGTGGGCCAAGGAAGCAGCTTTGAGAAGGAAAAGCCAGAACAAAAGAACTGAGTGAGCTGGACACACGTCTGTCATCTTTATCAGGAGGCTGGGATCTGAAGATCATGATTTGAAGCCAGCTGGGGCAGGAAAGTCAGTGAGACTCTTATCTCCAATAAACTATGCAAGAAAGCTGGAAGAAAGGGCTAGGAAGGTGGCTCAGTGGTAGAGTGCTTGCCTAGCATGCACGAAGCCCTGGGTTCGATTCCTCAGTACCACATAAAACAGGAAAAGCCAAAGTGGCACTGTGGTTTAAGTGGTAGAGCTCTAGCCTTGAGCAAAAGAAGTTTAGGGACAGTGCCCAAGCCCTGAGTTCAAGCCCCAGGACCAGAAAGAAAGAAAAAAGAAAAACTGAGAGGGTACCTAGTGTGTTTCAGAACACTCAAGAAAGGAGTTGTCCCTTGGCTTTAGGCATGGCTCAGCAGTGTATCACATGAGACCCTCAGTTCAAACTCCACTACTAGGAAGGAATAGTTCCCAAGCAGAGTGGACAAGGAAAGCCTGGGAGGAAAGGAGGGCAGAGACAGTGCAGATAGAAGTGGACCTCTGCTGACGGCAGTGGATTTGGGCTTGTACTCCAGGTAAGACAAGATGAGGAACTGTGAGCAGGAACAGCAGGATCTCATTTATGTGCGCAAAAGATCCCCAGGCTGCAGAGGAGAGGACCAACTTGGGGGGGGCGGGGAAGGGGGCAATTTTCCACAACTCTAGTTGGGAAGCTAATGGTATAATCCTTGCAAGATATGTCTGCAACTTGCTTCAAGGGGAAGTGGAGGTGGCAAGATGTGATCAGATACTGGCTATATTTTAGCACTGAAAGATCCTTCAGAGATCCATTAATCCTCTGGCTTATAGATAGGAAAACTGAGTCCCAGAGAGGGGCCTGGCTCATGCAGTTGATAATAGCTATTCTTTTGATTTCTCCTCTTTTATGGCGTCTACCCTTACTTCCAAAAATCTTATCCTGGGACCAAGAAGGGCCCTATTCCTGCCCTTCCTGCATGTGCCAGGGTGGCACTGGCTCTGAGTATTTCCTAGTTCCCTAGCTACTTGAGCCTGGTGGGGGTCAGAGTCACCTCTAAGGAGGTTTCTGTTCTCTGAATCAGCAGACTTGTGCCAGGGGGAGAGGGGAAGGAGGGAGAGCTTAGTCCTGCCACTTGGTTTTCAGTACTCCCAGAACAGAGAGCCCCAAGAGCTGACAGGGTGGAACAGGAGCTTTGGGGAGGGCAGAGCCCCCAAGGGAGCTCAGGCGCCAAGACTGAGCCCAGCCAAGGAGTTCTGCACACTCAGCCATTGAGAACCCCACCCAATGGGAGGTTTGCGGGCATAGGGGGGTGGGGGAGGAGAGTTGCAATGCCTTTGCTACCAATAAGCAAAGCAGCATGCAAACGTACAGGTCACACCTAGGGTAGCTGGTTACAGCTGCTGACAGCCAGGCACCTGGTGAGAATCTCAAACCCAGAACCAGCCAGACTAAACCCAATGGAGCCCTGCAAGCTGAGAAAGGCTGGCTGCAGCCTTGGGTTAGGAAACAGCCCTTCAAGTTGCCCAGCTTGCAGTCCCAGCAGACCAAGTCCTCTAAAAGGCAGAAGCCTGCCTGGTTGCTCTGAGAGAGAAGTAAGTATTAGGGAATAGAAAAGAGCTGGGAATCTAGGGCGACAGGTCCTCTACCCCAGCTCTGTTGCCAATCTACCGAAGAGTTGGGAAGCAGTCTTGGTGTACTTCTCTGCAGAAGGGTGGAGGAAGGGGCTCGGAGGGACCTACTTCTCGCTGGTTCCGCTGAGAATGGGGTCTCACTCAGGCTTCCCGAATGGGAAGTGACATCCTGGGTAACTTCTGAAGCTGTTAGTCCGGGGATGGGGGTGTACTTCAATGTTGTGGAGTCTCTGGAGAGGGCCTTTTACATTTCATTTGCATGGGAAGTCTAGATGGGACTTTCTTCTGTCTACAGAACTCTCCCAGTTGAAGAATGATACGGAAAAAAGGAGGTAGGCTAGACCAAAACAGAACTTGCAATAGCCCATTAACCACAGAACCCGTGCAGATCACGAGAAGGGGACAAATCCTACAGTATCTGGTCCTGATGCTCCCTCTTTTTCTGAGGAAGATACACCCTGAACGGATCACCGTCAGAGCAAGGCTTGACGCAACACTGTGCTGTGGGACCTCGGCCCAGTCAACTATTCCTCTCGAGACTCAGTTTCTTAGTCTGTCTGACGCGATCAATGCTCTCCGGGATCAAGGCTCTGTGGAGGCAGGGGTCTGCTGACAAGCTTGGGTTCACCCCGGGACAAGGAGGCTGACAGCAGGCGGGGGAAGAGGGAGGGGCTCCTGGGGACTCCTCCCCCCCCCTCCAGTGGTCCTCTAACCCTGTCGGTTACAGGAGACCCTTTCTCTACTGCAGAGGTGGAGTCCAGCTTCCGGCCCCCCGCGGTCAGGGCGTGGGCGTGAGAGCGGCAGAGGGGGCGTGGCCACTGCTGTGGGCGGGGCGCGGGCGGGGCTTCGGGGACGCCAGGCCCAGGCGCGCGAGGGGCGAGGACGGCGAGGTCTCGGGTTTCCTCCCCGCCCCACCGGCTTCTTTTTCCGTTTCCAAATTAACAATTGAAAACACGGCGGCCTGAAAGGCGAGCAGCGGGCCAAGCGGAAAGTGTGAAGGTGCCGTGGCGTCCCCGAGACCTGGGACGAAGAGGGAGGACGAAACACCCGGACCGTCCACCCTACAAGGCCGGATGGAGGGGGGCGCGCTGGGCACCCCAATACCCCACAGCTCCAAGGCTCCTGAGTTGAGTCCTGACCGGATCCAGTCCCTGGCACTACCCAGGCTAGAGTCCCAGGACCCAGTGCCAGGCTCCGGGTGGTGCCAGTTCCCGAGGGGACGAAGTGGGGGAGGGGTGCCAGGGCTGGGTTTCCACTCCCGGGCCGAGAGCCCAGGAGGGGCAGGTGCCAGGCAGCACCTCAGAGCACCATCCTTGAGGGCTCCCAGTGTCAGATCGTTTCCCGTGTGACCTTAAGAAATGAAGTCATTTCACTGTACTGGGACTCAGTATCCTCATCTGGAAAATGGGGAGAAAAAGACACACACACACACACACACACAACACTTTTCCATACACCCACCAAGCAGAGCAGGCATGAGAGGAAGAAACCGAAAATACATGAAGTTGGCTGGCTGCCCAACACAATAGTAACTATTAATTGTGCTGTTAATGATGCTGAATCCTTGTCATTCCACTACCTATTACCATAGCCAAGTGAGCTGCCCACTAATGGGGTTCATGTTTTGCATTCCCCTCCTAAAGCAGGCCCTGATTGATGGATAAAAGAAACTGAGACCGGAAAGGTCCTTGTAAGGAGCTCAAAGTTCCACAACAATGAGTGCAAAGAACTGGGTCCTGACCCCTTGAACCAGGTCCCTGGTATAGAAAGCATGGTCCTGTCTTAGTTGTTTGCTCTATGTCCTGAGAGGCAGGTGCCAGTAAGTAGTAATGAGCAGGGTCCCTGCTTCCAGGCACCCAAGGTCCCAGGCACAGACAGAGCCAGGGGCTGGACACAAGAGAGTTTCAGGTCCTTCTTCCCACCATAACGCAAGCTCTGTGGATACAGAGACTTTTGGTTGCTCAGTGTTCTTTCTCCATCCTGAAACAAACTGGCAAGGATGGAGGTTCTGAGTGCTTACTGAGTGAGTAAATGTATGAAAGAGCACGACCGGGGGCTGGAAGGTGGCTCAGTGGTAGAGTGCTTGTCTCGCATGCATGAAGCCCTGGGTTCAATTAATCAGTACCACATACACACAAAAAAAGCCAGAAGTAGCACTGTGGCTCAAGTGGTAGAGGGCTAGCCTTGAGTAAAAGAAGCTCAGGGACAGTGCTTGGACCCTGAGTTCAAGCCCCAGGATTGGCCAAAAAAAAAAAAAAAAAAGAGCAGGAGCAGTGTGTCATTCCCCTGTGTGAAGGGGTTGACCTTAGGGATAGGGGTTAACATGAGGTGCCCCTCCCCAAGGTAGTTGGAGGAGGAGACAAGTAGAGAGACAGAGGAGAACTTCAGCATGGTCCCAGAAGGCAGAGTAAAGATCACTCCTTTTTCCTAGCCACCCCCACCCCCACCCAGCTTTCCAGTTTAGGAATCCTGACCTCTCTAGAACTCAGCCCCATTCTCCTGCCCCAGCTGGCCTCCTCACTGGCCACCAGTAGTCCAGCCCTCAGCCCCACTCCAGTCTAGTGCCCCTCCCTCACTGACAATCCTATTACAGCTTCAGTTCAGCAATGAAAACCAAGCTCCTTAGACAGGGACAGAGGCTGTCCACAAACCAAACATCAGACACACTCTACTTCCCTGTGGCTGGTCCATTTCCACCTTAGAGACTTTTTGTGAGTGTATGTGTGTGCTGGTACTATTACAGGCTTGAATTCGGGGGCCTAGACACTGTCCTTTAGCTTTTTTGCTCAAGGCCAACACTCTACCACTTGAACCACAGCTCCACTTCCAGCTTTTGATGGTTAACTGGAAGAACTTCACAGACTTTCCTGCCTGGGCTGGCTTGGAATTGTGATCCTCA